TTCCCTCTAACGAGGATAGCGACAAGGAGGCCATCATTATTATTGGCAAGGAGGAGAGCGTGAACAAGGCCAAAGAGCAGCTGGAGGCGATCATCAAGGAGTGCGATGAGGTTACCGAGGGCGAGGTTACCGTTGATCCCAAGCACCACAAGCACTTTGTGGCCAAGCGCGGCACCATTTTGCATCGCATCTCTGAGGAGTGCGGCGGCGTGATGATATCTTTCCCGCGCCCCGGCACCAACTCCGACAAGGTGACAATCAAGGGCGCCAAGGAGTGCATCGAGGCGGCCAAGCAGCGCATCGAGGAGACTGTCGCCGATCTGGAGGCGCAGACAACCATTGAGGTGGTCATACCCCAACGCCAGCATCGCACCATAATGGGCGCACGCGGTTTCAAGGTGCAGCAGGTCACCTCCGAGTTCGATGTGCAGATCAAGTTCCCCGATCGTGATGCCACCGAACCCGTCGAGGGTCTGACCAACGGCGTGAACGGTGATGGCAGCGAGGGCGGCGAGGGTGAGCCCAGCGCGGCGCCGGTGCGTCAATGCGATGTTATTCGCATCACCGGACGCATCGAGAAGTGCAATGCAGCCAAGCAGGCGCTGATCGATCTAATACCAATCGAGGAAGAGCTGAATGTTCCTTTCGATCTGCATCGCACCATCATTGGACCGCGTGGCGCCAATGTGCGTCAGTTCATGTCCACGCACGATGTGCATGTCGAGCTGCCGCCCAGCGACCTCAAGTCGGACATCATTAAGGTTTCCGGCACGCCAGCACGCGTGGCCGAGGCACGAGAGGCACTCGAGAAGATGATTGAGGATTACGAGGCAGATCGTGCTGATCGCGAGCTGCGCTCATTTGTGCTCCAAGTAGAAGTCGATCCAGAGTATCACTCCAAGCTCATTGGTCGCCAGGGCGCTGTCATTAATAAGCTGCGCGCCGATCACGACGTCAACATTTCGCTGCCCAAGCGCGATGATCCCAATCAGCGCATCATTTCCATTACCGGCTACCAGGCCAAGGCCGAGGCAGCACGCGATGCCATCCTGGAAATTGTCGGTGAATTGCAGACGCTGCATCGCGATGTCATCGAAATCGATACGCGCATCCATTCGCACATTATTGGCCATCGTGGACGCACCATTCGCAAGATCATTGACGATTACAAGGTGAGCCCTGAAAATCTAATGATTATATTTAATCAATACATTTTTTTGTGTTCCAAACTTAGGTGGACATCAAGTTCCCATCTGCCGATGATCCTCAAGCCAATCCGAATGCTGTGACCATCATTGGCAAGGAGGAGGATGTGGAGAATGCCAAGGAAATGCTCTTGAGCATGGCCGAGGATTATGAGCGCGATTATTTGGAGAATTTGCCGCCATCACCGCAACCGCAGACTGTCGGTGCCTTCCTCACTGGCGGCGCCGGCGCCAGTTCTGGCTCTGCTGGTGCTGGTGGTGGCAGCAACGAGAACGGTTTCATCATCAAGGATGCACCGTGGGAGAAGAAACAGCAGGCCAAGAATCTAACTGCACCCAATACCCAATCGCAGGAGGATTTCCCAGTCTTCGCTGCTGGCGGTGCTTCAGTTGCGGCCACGCCCATTACCTCCGTGTGGGGACCGAAGAACTAAGCAGTAGTCCAATCAGCGGCAGCCGCAGAGTGCGACGGGGATTTTGGGTAACGGAACAGAACGGAACGGAACGGGCGGGCGTACTGTCGGGCGTTGAGCAGCAACAGCAGGCGTGCTCGAACGAGGTCCTTAGTCGAAAACTAGTGTCAAAAATGGTACAGGTTGTCTCTCTCTCTCTCACTCTCAATCTCTTTCCCCTCTCAATCACTCTCTGTCTCTCTTGTTCACTCACTCCCAGGAGCTTTTCTACAATGCAATTCAAAAACAAACGAAAAATGATAAAAACTATTTTTGTATAATTTGATACAGAGAAACTCTGACCCCACACACATGAACACACCAACACACACAACATGCTCAGACACTTGAAATTGCATTTATACATAGAAAGAAAAAGAAAACAAAAAGAAACATTATATTAGCGCCAGATTTTGCTCCCATTTGTCCTTGTTCCTGCCCATTTGTTGCCTTACCCTCCTGTCCCCTTCCTCAAAATATGACTTAAATGCCAATTTCTTTTTATAACCATATTTCAATGCATAATATTCTAATTAGTTCAAGCTACTTAACATTAAGCAGAAAGTTCAACAAATGTTTTGTTAAAAGTGGTTGCAACAACATATTTAATTGATTGAAAACATGATATTTTATGGAAAAAAAAAAAAAACAATAACAAATTACGGTCAAGAACGATTTATAATTGTAAGCATAAAATGTTAAATATTTACTATTGCGATTGCTGCTCTATTTTTTATTACAAATCTATTGTTTGTTTATTAATTTTTTTTTTTAGTGCCGTGTGTTTCTTTCTTGAAGTGACACGCCGCCAATCCGAACCGAGTTATAAGTTTACTATATTTCGCCTCTTTTGGGAAAGTGCATGGTAAAAAAAAAAAAAAAAGAAACGTTTGTAATTGTATAAAGAAGTGAGAACGAACACTCAAATTGAAATGATGAGAAATTGAATTGGAACAGCGATTAACTGAATTGAATTACACAAAAGCATGTACTTTGAAATTATAATATATATTCATATATATATATATCTACACATATATTTACATATATATATATATATATATATATATATAGATTATTTAACGCACGCCTGCTTCTGCTCCAACAACCAACAACAACCAGCTTTATATCCCACACAAACCCCATTCACATTTCAAAATGAATACAAACATTTTAATTTTGTGCAATCTTCTTGATTTATATTAAATTGTTTTCGACTTATATTTGCCACTTAACAACTTTCAACACACACACACACACACATATATATATATATATATATATATATACATATATACACACGGCGCTCAGACCCTGTTTATGATTTGAAGTTGAAACACAAAGTATGAAAAATTCAAACAAAATAAAAAAATATTACAATTTTTTACTTACCATTCAATATAAAACAAATACAAAAAATATATAAAAAAAAAAAATAAAAACAAAATAAAACCAATAAAAAACGTAAACAATTTATATATAGTTTGATTTCTTGAGTTCAATTTTATTTTAGTTTTTCTGTTGCCTTTTGCTTTTATGCGGAAATTTCTTTCGACATGTGAAAAAACGAATAAGCAAAAAGAAAACACCAAGAAAAAAAGAACAGACCTGATATTGTAAATTTTTTAAAATATACATATTTACAACCAACTGCATTAGTAACTTTAAGAAACGTAGTAAATACAAAACAAAGTATATAAATGTATATATTTTCCTATATTAACGGACGTAAATCAAATGTAAACGTTAACGAAGCGACGACGAAAGCTGAAAAGCAAACCTTTTTTTCACTTATTGCATTATTTTCCAAAAACAGGCTATTCAGATACGAAAATAATGTATTTTATTTCTTTTGAAATACAAACAACAAATTATTTTGAAATTAAAAACTTTTCTTCACGTATTTTGAATGCGCGCTGCTCCGACTGCACTATTCAAAAGTTGGCAACGCCGCCCAGTTGTGCCTATCGATAAGCTGGCTGCCATCACTATTTATCAGAAAGCACAGCTACTTTTTCCGTGCTTCTTCTTTCGCAAAAATTCTTGTTAAAAACAAAAAATAAATAGTTTAATCAGTGGTGCAATTAAATTGAACTCAAAGCCGAAACATTAAGGAGATCACAACACTAGCCCAGCCATGGAGGATCGTAAGTGTGCGCTAATCGTATATAATGCAGTTTTCACAAGCGGACTCCGCGTATTTGCCGCATGCAATTGGGTAAAAGTGGTCGCGTGTTCGCTGTGATCCCTGGTCCGCTTATTGGAAGCACTTTTGTCAAGAGACGCGGTGCGCTAATTAGAAGGTAGTTTTGTCCACGAATAGGTATTTCAAATAAGGTGGGAGTACGGTTAGTCTGTCTGTCGAATTGTAGCCTCTTCCAAATTAAGATGAGTCATGTCATGAAAGTCAGCTTGCGCCCTGTCCCTCTGCCGCTGCAATGCATTGAACTCGTGGGAGTTTATTCCACATTTGCCACAAATACGTTTTGCGTGCCATAAACATTTGAATATTTAATTCAGATCGCAAAATCTGACGACGTGGCAAGCATTTTGTGAATGTACTGCGTTGTTCTTTGTGTACATTCAGTGTTGCAACAATAACAACTACAGAAAATATGCGTAGCAACGCCTCCCATTTGCGCTCAGTTTATATTTAATGAAATATACACAAATTTACTGTGGCAAATCAAATTTTAATTACATTTTGTGGCTTGTTTATGTGTTCGACGTCAATTGAGCGCAAATCATGTTCTTTCAATTGACAGCAGGCAACACACACACACGCACAGCTTGAGCCCATCCTCCTTCCACTTGTTGATCATGCAATTCTTTAACTCTGCTAACTTGGCACAAGAAAACAAGCTTAAAGAAAAGGGGATGAGAGAGAGAGTCGAAGAAGACAATGCTCTGCTGGGCTGCACATTCTGTAAAGTTGTGCTCTCTGTCTGGGCGCTCTGGCGTTGCCAACTTGTTGAGTTACAGTTACTTCAGCGAGCAGAGCGCTGCGCAGCTTACCAATTGGAAGTTGAGCTCAGTTTAAGTTTGGCTGTGGCAGTGCGCGGTAGCATAAGAGACAAGCGCGTTTCTTTCTTGACTGGGAAAAAGAAAACGCTTTTCAACATGAATCTGTAGAAATAATGGGCAAAAACAAAAGAAGCGAAACATCTATAAAAGCCAGAAAAAACAGAAAACATATCTGGTCGAAGCGCTCGCTTTGAAATGTGAGAAGGTTCCACATGCGCCGCCACGTTCCAATTAGAAAGTGCTCGCTGTTGTTGCTGCTGCTGCTGCTGCTGCGGAACATGAGATAAACCACAGCGAGAGAGAGAGAGAGAGAGAGAGCGAGAGATTGGGCAGCATGAGCAGCGAATCTGAGCCTGTTAGCTTGGAGTTCATCGAGGATTCTTATCTGCCGCGCATCGATGACATCACCACAACGCCATCGCTCGACGAGCTGGAAATAGCTCCAGAGAGCGAAGCTGACTTCTACGATGAGACGGAGCATTATCTGCGTAATCTGACACTCGATGACATCTTCTATGATGTTGATTCGGATTATGCTAATACCCTAGAGCTGCAGGCGGTCGAAACGGAGTTCATTGCGGCCAAGCTGTCCAATCAGACGCCGTCGCAATCGATGGCAAAACGTTTTCGATTGAAATTCTTTACCAAGAGAACAATGCGAGATGTTAAGGTCACGTTTATAGATTTCTCGAAACCCTATCTGGCCAAAATATCAAATAGTGATAATTATAAAAGATTTCTGACCATTGGTCAGGCTGGTGGTGCTAAAGGTAAACATTTGCGTAGAGTAGGGGAGGCGGGCAGGGGCAACTCCAATTGGAATTGGGTAACATAACATAACGGGGCAATTGTATTTCGAAATATCCGAGCAAGTAATATTTGTAGTACAGTGAAAGCTCGCTTGAACGGGCAATCTACGGGTTGCAAAAAAACGTTTATATATGTACTTAGTTTTTTTTTTTGTTTTTTGGCGAACTCAAAATTGGGAACACGACTTAATATAATTGCTTCGTGACTAATCAGCTTTTCTTAATTCTCTCTATTTCCCCCCTTATTTTTATTGCTTACGCTATGCGCCGAACGAACAGTTTGTGAGTATTATTTGTGCTGGATACAATTTGAAATGTGAACAAAATTCTTAAGTCTTTATATACATTTTATACGAAACAAACCAAACGAAATTCGATATGCTCAGCGCATGAAAAAGTCTTTGAGGAAGTTGTCTTCCAAGGAGGTACATAAAATCAAACAAAAGCAACAAAACACGAAAAAAAATAATTTAAAAGTCGCGCCAGTTCTTTAGTTTTTCCAATTAGTAAAACAATTAAATCCATCCCTATATATGTATATAGAACTGTCTAACATTATGGTTTGTGCACAGATAACAGCGCCCACCTGTCGGAGCCCGCTTCTCCAGCAGCATCTGTGGCATCTGCAGAGATTGCCGCCGAGTTCGCAGCACTCACCGTTGAGGAGAAGGAACAGCGACGCGCCGAATGGAGCCAGGCAAGTGCCCAACACATTTTAATTGTAATTCCCTAATAAAAAAAAATACTCTCGTTTTTTATTCGCAGGAGCTGGCACGCGTTGAGGAAGAGATCAATACGTTGCGCACGGTGCTGGCCTCCAAGACGCGCCATGCTTCCGATTTGAAGCGCAAGCTGGGCATTACCGTCTGGAAGGAGCTAACCGACGATGTCAATCAGGGCGTCAAGAATCTAAAAGAGAGCCACGTGTAAGTTGCCACTGCAGGAGCTGTACTCCGGTCCAGCTGGTCGTCAGACCATTAACTGTTCAATCAATCGAATCAATCTGGCTTTATTTGTTTTTGTTATGCGTTTTTTTAAATTTAAAAAATTTGTTCATATTTATTTAGTTACCAATCGATGGAACAAAGCGTGGGCAGCATATCTAAAGCCGTGCACGAGGCACCACTGTAAGTAATCGTGTCCAGGATTGTGTTCCGCTGGCAAACTAACCCAATCAGCAGCTGTTCCATGTTTCTCTTAACACAAACTTTTGCTTCTGTGTGTCAATAACCAAATGCATTGTTGTCTATATTCTATGCGTCTCGCTCGTGACATATATCTGTCGTAAAATTGTGCTAATTTATTTTCGATCTGCTGTTTTTTTCAGTTTCCAACGCACTGAGTCGGTGCTGAAGACAACTGGAGAGAAAACGGCTTCAGTTTTTGGCAGCATTACGAGCGGCATTACGTCGAAATTTTCACAAATGAAAAACTCTGAATCGATGCGTTCTATTGAAGCTTCGGTTGGCTCTGCCTATGAGAACGTTAAAGTAAGCTATGAACAGAACAATTTTTTGTGCCAATCTCATGCGGTAACTACTATTTTATTATATATATATATATATATCTCTTCTATACTCTCTTATGCCTATGCTCATTGAACTCACATCTCGACAATTATCAAGTACAACAGAAAAACAAATACAACACTATCTCCCCTTCACACTCTTCACACTGCATCTGCCACCATTTAGGCACACTTTAAACGGGGCTTACACTCGTCTAGTCACTTCTACTTAATACTTAATATACTTTATTCAATAATCGCATGTAGTTTGCTAAAAAAAAAAAAAAAAATGAGTTCAAAGTATTTGTATTGTCCTGCTACAAAACTGTTCGGTTCTCTATTCTATTCTATTGTAGACGAAGGTGACATCCCGTTCGGGTTCGGTTTCCAGTTTCCCAGACGATCTAGATGAGAATAATTCACCATCGGGACTGAATTCACCCACAGACTCTCTAACAAAATAAATGCACGCGTAAAATAATCAAAATCAAAACAAAAACAAAAAACAACATAATTACACCTTTACACACACACACACACACACACACACATACATAAATAACACACAATTAACAATTGCGTTTAAATATGAACATAAACACTAACACCAAGTATGGAATTTATTTATAAAATATATGTGTGTTATTATTATTATAACTATTATACTATTTAATGTATGTGTATCTTAACTTTAACAAATTTTGTTGGTAGCATACGTACATATATTTACATGTGTGTGTGTATGTGTGTACGTGTTGCGCTATTTCAATAATTGTTTTGGTTTAAAAATCAAAGAAAACAAAAACATGTTAATTTACCAGAGTTCTTTATGCAAAAATCTAAGTGTATGTTTAATGTTTAAAGAGAAAACCATACAAAAAGAAAATCAAGAATATGTAAACCATTTAGCAATTGATAACATATTTTCGCTAACTTTGTTAACACACACACACACACACACACACACACACACACACACACACACACACACACACACACACACACACACACACACACACACATGTGAGAAAGATAAACAGATAATCATTGTGCGAATTTCATTCCTAACTTCTCTGCCGCTTAGCTTCACTATAAAAAAAAATATATGTATAATATATATTTTTTATATTTTCATTTATTTTTCTGTAGGCTTTGGGTCGTGTAGCTAAATGGCGTAACTGACAAATATATTCCAAATTAATTTAAAACTATTTAAACAATGAAAGAAACAAATTGAGCTTGCAAGCTAAATAAATAAATACATTCGTTATATTAAGACGAAAAGCAGCACCAAGAATATTGTAAAAAATTGAAAGCACACACACACACATTATTGATTCGTTGCAACTACACTTGATTTAAGATTTGCTATATGTGTATGGGATCTTTGAATAAATACGAAAACTATGTGCCCCAACTTAAATGTTAGAGTTAACGTTTTAAAAATCCCGCCATGTTTTCTTGCGACAGTCTGGCAGCTCTGTGCGCTGACCAGGGCTGCAATAAACTAGAAACAGCTGCTAAGCAGAACAGCTGGCAACGCTCGGCAGTACAATTTTTATAAGTGACCGACAGAAAAGCCGTAAATGAAAAAATGACAAACTCTAAATGAAATTAAGTAAGCATCGTGATGCAGAACACTTGACAAGACAATTGGTGACTCCAGAGTGAAAGTGCAATTAAGTTTTAATAGTATTTAATTAGTGTAAGTGCGGGCGCAGACATGAACTACACATACTTGTTTGTGCTCGTTTGGCTGGCCTATTTGATATGCAGCGGTGTCCTGTTGTTCTCTCGAGGATTTCTGCTCGCGCGCGTCTCCAAAACGGAGACAAGCACCTGCCGGCGTCTGTCCACAAGTCCAAATGATGTAAGTGACGTGTTCAGTTTTGGGGAAAATTGGGAATTCAGTTTTCTTCTTCTTTCTGCTAACTAGGAGTATCTGCTGACACCGGAGGTGGTGCAGGAGATTTTCAAGGATGTGAACGCCTCATCGTCATCCAATCTATGTCTTCCACAAAAGTCTAAAGTCATTATGCTCGTCATCGATGCATTGAAATATGAATTTGGAGTATTTAAAGAGAACACCACCGAACCGTTGCCTTATGAAAATAAACTAAGTGTGTTGCATCAGCTGCTGCAACAGACTCCGGAGCAGGCGCGTCTGATGCGCTTTAAAGCGGATCCGCCGACGACCACGTTGCAGCGCCTGAAGGGCCTAACCACCGGCAGTTTGCCCACATTTATCGACATTGGCTCCAACTTTGCCTCGCCGGAGATCAACGAGGACAATGTCATAGATCAAATTGTGAAAAGCGAATTGCCCTTGGTATTTCTGGGGGATAGCACATGGACGGATTTATATCCGCGACGCTTTAAGCGCGCCTACTCATATCCCAGCTTCGATATATTCGATTTGGACAGCGTTGACAATCAAATAATGCAGCATTTGCCCAAGGAGCTGGCCAGCACGGATTGGCAGGTGCTCATAGCGCATTTTCTGGGCGTGGATCACTGCGGTCACAAGCACGGACCCATACACGAGGAAATGGCGCGCAAATTGAGCGAAATGAATGATATCATAAGGTAACTATAAATTAGCACAGGATTCATATGTATTTAACAATATTGATTTAATCTTTTAGCTCAGTAGTTGCTGCCATGGACAATGAGACCACGCTGCTGATAATGGGCGATCATGGCATGACGGCTAGTGGGGATCATGGTGGCGACACTGATGACGAAACGAATGCCCTATTGTTTGCCTACTCCAAGCAGCACAAATTCTTTACCAGCAACGATTCGGGCTCCGATAGCGAATTGCTGCAGCAGGTAAAATAGATAAGACAACGTCTTTTTATCTCTAGCACACACACGTCATGGCGATTAAAAAACTACTGTATTGCAGATTGATCTGGTTCCCACACTGTCGGCCATACTCGGCGTGCCCATACCCTACTCAAATTTGGGTTTAATCAATTTCAATATTGTGCCCGCTGTGGCTGTGCCGCATCTGAGTAAATTCCAAACATTGCTGCTGCACGCCTGGCAAAATGCCCATCAAATCTATCGGTATTTCTTCAACTATGCCTTGGAGAACAAGCGCACCTTTAATGTGGAGCAAATGGACACACTGGAAACGGAATTCATACTGTTGACGCACCGTGTGCAAACAATTTACAATGAGGCGGCCTTCAAGTCGTTTGTGCGCGATCTAAACATTAATTTACGTGATATACTCAACGTCTGTCGCGAGATCTGGGTCAAGTTTGAGCCCGCACAAATGTCGCACGGTCTGCTGTTCACCTTTCTGCCCATCTTCTTCGCCTTTCTGCTCATCAACAACTCAAATGCCAGCGATTATGCCAAGATTTTCAAGCCCAAAGAGGTGTCTTACACATTTCTAATGAACATTGCTGCCGGCGTCTTTGGCTATCGCTACTACAAGAACTTCTCGTTCAAGACGGAGGAACATGGCGTTATATTCTTCACCAGTTTGCTGAGCACCGTGCTGCTGGCCTTCTATACGCTGCGCCACTGGAACAGCATTGCTAACAATTGGGCGAATGTCAAACGTTTTGGCCACATGCCCACACGACTGCTGCTCTTTGCCACCATGGCTGTGTTTTTCTCCAATAGCTTTGTCATCCAGGAGGCCAAGATTTTATCCTATCTGCTGGTTGCAGTCATTCTGCTGCTTGTCTATGAGCTGCTGCAGCTGAGCGCGCGTCTGGACTTCAGGAACAAGTTTAAGTGGTCGCAGTTTTTACGCTCTACCGCGTTGCGTTTGATTTTGGCCAGCCTGTTGGCCATTTGCTGTATACGCTTCGCATCCACCCTGTTTCGCTGCCGCGAGGAGCAAGGCAATTGCGCTGATTTTGCGAGTGCCAGCACGCCCGGTTTCTCCGTGAAAAGGCCAGCCATGGGCAAGACCTATGTGCTGGCCGTTGTCATAATTGTTTTGTACACCACACTGACCCGTTTGTATTTGCGGTCCTGTGGCAATTTAACCGGCAATTCGCCCAACGTGCTATTAGCACGCTACGGTCCGACTGTGGCCTCGATTTGCGCCGGCGGTCACATACTGCTCGCGAATAGCGCCATCAAGAATATACAGCGCACTCATATTGATGCCATGGCTCTGGTCATTTATGGTCTGTTGCTGTTGCAAATTGTTGTTGTCTCGTGGGCGCCACTGATGACGTTTGTGCTGCCGCCCAGGAATCCAAATACCATCAGCGTCAATGGGCGTGACAGCATTGTGCCGGAAATCTTTCGCAAAATGAAGCGCATGTATGAAGGAGATGACGATGCGGAGCGTCGCTATGAGATACCCGTCGTCTATGGCCTGGCCACTGTCTACTCATCGATCATCATTTCGTTTGGCGTCTTTCTGGCCATGCTCATGATTGTGCTGCTCGAGCCCCGAGCGAGCATTGGTCTCATTGTCTGCGTGGTCGTCGGCGCCATTATATTGAGCGTGCATGGCATTCTGCGCTACCGCACGGCCAGCAGTTTTGGTGAGTTCTTGCCTTGATTAATTATAATTAGTCGTTTTCAATTAATGTTCGATTTGTTGCCTTGCAGAGAGCTGCGTGCAGCCCACATTTAGCGCTGTGGTTGGCTGGTTTTTGCTGGCGCATTTTTGTTTCTTCGCCACATCGCATCAGACGACGCTCTCGCAGATCGACTGGCGCGCCGCCTTTGTGGGCCGCTCCAGCGCTTTGGGACAGTCGCATCTCATTTCTGGGACGCTTGTCATTTTGAATACCTTTTGTGGGCCCATCTTTTTCTACTGCATGTATGCGCTGCTCAGCACGGAGACCTTTTCGCTGTTCGCCCTGTTTCCGAATCTCATCAAGAGCAGCAGCAGTACCAGCAGCAACGGTCGCAGTAAAGCGGATGCAGCTGCTGCGGCACTGTCCGATATCGCCACCGATGCGGTGGGCTTTGATATGTCACGCGGCGAGCTAGCGTTGTATGAGTATGAGGATGTATTTCTGGGCGCCGGTTTCAAGTTGGCCACACAATTCTTTATGCTGCAGGGCCTCAAGGTGGGTGCCAAGAATTGCAAGTCGCATTTTTTGCATTTAGATGTTTGATAACTTCATGCAATTGCAGATCTTTTGCGCGATGCTCGCCTGCACCATACACTGCCGACATCTGATGGTTTGGAAAATCTTTGCGCCGCGTTTCATTTACGAGGCGCTGGCCACATTTGTGGGCCTGCCCTCGCTTATTGTGGGCTATCTGCTGCTGTTGCGCATCAACCGTGCTGTCGATGGACTTATCAAGCGCATCAACAAGGATAAATAGTTTGTGGAACCAACAACCGATATTAATTAGCTGCATATTTGCTCTAGTCCCGCGGCCCTGCAACTCAAAAGTGTGTATTTCAAATTTTTATATTATGCCCAATATTTATTTAGCATTTACTAAATTATAGACTAGAAAAGAGGTATAGAAAAAAACATATTTTTGAGCGGACTTCACTTAGCTGGTTTATTTTCGCCTTACTACAAAAAAACTTCTTGTTTTTTGTTTAGTTGATTTTTTATTACATTAGCTAAAGATACATTTAAATTTAGACACAGAATATACAACTAAAAAGAATATGAATTTCTCGAATATTATCGAGCTTTTTAACATATATGACCGAAAATCAGCAAAAAAAAATTAAGTACAATCGGGCGTCATATATATATGTAATTAATTATTTAATTTGCTGTAAAATTAAACTAGACATCAGCTACACAATAGTAACATCTCAGTTAAAGTACACAAATGTGGGTGCAAACCAAAAAATACAATTATAATAATGATTATTGAATAGAATTGTGGCCAACGAGTTAGCAGTATTCAACTTTGTTGGACACAACTAATTTCAATTACACATTTAGTTTTTATATGCTGTACATGTGCCAAACGAGAGTTAATTGTATTAAGTTAGCCAGGTCAAATGTTGAGGCTGTGTGCGGGTGTGTGTGTGTGTGTGTGTGTGTGTAAGAGAGAGATTCTACATTAACATCTAATGCCCATTGAGCACCGATGGGGTATGGGTTACTCCGCGTGTGGCTCCCTTAGCTACAAATTAAAAGAAAAGTACAAAGATCAGGCCAAAATCAAAAGCCAAGTTAATGAAGAAGGATTTGGGGATAGGAGGAAAATTCGCAAATTCGACATGCGTTAAAAGCGTTTGGAAAATGTAGGTAGCATATGTACAGCAATTTAGAAAGCAACTATTGGACTACACAATCTTTGGCTTTGATGGCGCCAGCACCAGGGTATGATGATGTTGATGCATGCGGTTGACGGGAGAAGCTGCCTTAGTCGCTGTTCTCATCATACGGATGATAATGCCTCTCTGGCGGAGGAGGCGGCGGCGGCGGTAGTGTCTGCTTCTGCTTACCATGGCTTGTCGGACGGCAGTACTTCTCGCTGGTACTCCAGTCCTCCTTAAGTGACAGATTGAACATTGAATAGTCCGGATCACCGGTAACCTCCTTAACAATGTTCAAAAACTTGGGCATGCAGTTTTTCAGCGCATCGCCCGTTAGCGAGGAGTAGGTCTCCAAAAGCACCAATCCCTTGCAGCTGCAAATAGAGAAATGCGCATGATTCAACTGCAGGCAGCGATTGGCTATCTACTGAAAACCTACCGTGGATGACCCGGCTCCTTATAGATGTCCAGTTGGAAATATTGATTGTTAATCAGAAAGCAACGACGCGTCTTATAGATGGTATAGTGCGCATCATCACATTGAGCTAGTAGGTTGATATAGTCGCGATGTGTTAGCTGTGTCTTCACCTCGATGCGGTTCTGGCCATGTATATTGGGACGCCGCTGGGTGTATATGTAGCTCCAGTGATTCTTCTGACCGCGCTTGCGAAGACGCGCCTGTACCTTGGGGAAGGTGGACTGCAGATAATGATGTTCCACATCAAAATCTTGGAAGGGTGGAAATTCGCTTTCAGGCGGCAGCGAGGCAACTAAAAATCGGAATATAAGTCGTTGATCAAGCAAATTAAGCAGTCGAGAACTTACCCAAATATTTGAGTTTCCTTGAGGTGGCCTGCAAACGATCGCCAATATCGATGCCCAGTTTTTGGCACACGGATTCAATCATGCGATTCATTTTGGTCTCAAAATCGGTGGAGTTATCAATAACATCAAAATAGGGATGTCCCACCCAGGCAGCGGCCGATTTGTAGTCCAGCTCACGGGCGAGCTCAACGCCCTCAGAGCGGCAGGCGTGGTCCTGCAATAAGAACAAGAGATTAGGCGTGCGTGTGAAATATTAGGCAAATCTCAATTAATACCTCAGTTAAATACAACAACGAGCGATAATATCAAAGGCTAAAGAAGTGCCCCAAAGAAACTAAGCTTTAAAAAAGCACCTGAAAGCTTTAAGAGCTATTAATTGCATCAAGTGAATTAAGTTAAAGCTTAAGAAAAGCTTTATTAGTTTTAATTTCTCCTCAGTTTTTAAACAATAGCTACATGAACACTTAAAGCTAAAGCCTATTAAAGCCAGATAAAAGGAAGCTTAAAAAGCACCTGAAAGCTCTATGAGTTATTAGATATTTCCACTTAAAGCTTAAGTCCTTTAAAGTTAGCCCACAACTAAAAAGCTTTCGAGCAGCTTTAAGCATATTGCATTTGATCGAGTACCTGATAAATGCGCTTTCTTTTCTTTGTTTTTATTTTTTTTTTTATATACACGAAAGGTTGCCCAAAGTTAAAAGAGGGTAATTGGAATCAATAGAGCGCAAATGCAAGACTCACCTCTGTCGAGTAGAAATCCTCGGCACCATTTGCGGCCGATACCAAGTGTAGAATTTGATTGTAGCGATTGTCGCGCATCTCCACGGGATTCCATTTGTTGGCCGCCATCATTTTCTCCCACTTGTCCTTCGATATATCTGGAAGAAAGCAAAGCTCAGTTTTTTTGTTTATGTCTGAGAGGGCAAGAGTTATGCACTTACATGCGCTGGCATCCATGACGCCGCGATCGCAGATGATGAGGACGTTGCGGGTGTTCGAGTTGCCCAGCTCGAAATATGTGTTCTCGATTTGCACCATTGTGCGTATCAGATTTTCCTGAAACTTATAAGCTACAAAACACCATTGGGAGATTATTCAAGTGGGCTTTATTCAAAATACAATTAGAGAAATATAATTGTTATTTGCATATATATCAAATTAAGAAAATACAATTGCAAGCAAATTCTTTGGAGGAAATATGACACAGGATTTGTATGCCACGGGTAGACTTCATCTACATATATATGTATGTATGGAGTAAGGAGTGGGGACTAGGGACTAGGAAGTAGGGAGGCTAACGAATCAAGTAATATGAGTTGTGACGATGGCCTGCAACCAATTGAGCGGCAATTGAATGAATTCGACGAGCAATAAATAACAAAATGCTCAACTGTGTAGATGATAACGATTATATATGTATATACTATATATTCAAATATATTATGAACAGACTAATTGAGTGTGCATAATCAACGTATGTGTGTCAAACAAAAAAAAAACACACACACACACCAACACACCCAAAGTTCAATCCCCTCGCCCTGAAAAAACAAATACTGACTCACATTCGCCCAATGCCAAACCGCACACAAAGCCTTGCAGCTGTTTCTAAACAACTGGACCGCGCTGTGTGTTTGTGTGTGTGTGTGTGTGTGTTCGGGTTATGCGATCATCGTGCGATTATTCATATGTTGTACAATATTCATAAATACTACTAAGTATTTGCAATAGCCTATTATCGTTATAATCAATTCCATCCAACAGCTGTTCAAATAATCAGGGAATTTCTCTATAGAGCTACGCCTTAGAGTTTTTCTGTGGGTATTTCGCGTATTTGCGAGTTTTGTTTTTTTTTCTCCCTTAATAAGAATATATAGTTCAATTTGCAGTTGAAATCTCGAAATGCATTAAATGTGGCGGAAACAAAGTGAATTCGTCATCCGAAAAAATTGCAAATATTACAGTCGGGCACAATCACAAACTTGACCTTGAACAAAAAAAAAAAAAAATAATAACAATAGAGTACAGTAAATTACGTTAAATGAACGCAGATACACACACATACACGCACACACATCTACATCTTGCGGCATTTCATACCCTTTGCGTGGGTGGGTACAACAATTCTCCCACAAGCTGTGTAACACATGCGGAAGAAAAGATTATTTATAAATGTTGTTGATCAGGATGAGGCACTAAATCAACAATATAACTATAATAGAAAAATAACCCTTTTTATCGCACAACATTTCTATAGATAAGATCAGAATACTATATTGATTTTACGACAGGCTATTATATCATCGGTAAACCGATAATTTATTTTTATTTGTTGTCTCATACATTTTCCTTTAGTGATAAAGAAAAATCACCAAAGTGCTTATAAACGAGACAGCAACCCTCAGCCTATGGCCAGGGGGCGGTACGCGTGTCTGTTTTTTTGCACACACCCCTGCCCCGTGCGCCAACCAACCCCTCACCCTCACCCTCACCCGTCACCCACCTATGCTGACACTTGTTGCGGTCTCGTGTGCATTGACAATGAGAGAACTTGTTGTTGCATTGAACTTGAACTTAGAGCGCATCACGCAACGAAACGAATGGAATTGATCGATTAGACAGCGCATAAAAACTGGAATGGGGAAAACGGAATGAATAGCCGGAATAGTGGAATTCGAATGTGGGTGGTCTGTTGGGCGATTCGTACGTCAATTGTGTGCAAGTGAGTTTTCGTTGTCTGCCTTTCGTTTGTATATGGTTTGTTTTGGCTAATTCAATTAGCAGGCGGTGATATAAGCAACTGATGCAAAGGCCAAATACAGATGGTAATACTCATATACTTAGATACACACACATCCATATACATATGGGCATGTTTCTGGGAATATCTATTTAATTTGTAATATTGCGCCGCACAAATATGGTAAAAGTCTATTCTAAGTTTCTGGGTGAAAACAAGTTCTTGGCGCTACATAAATAATTACATATATAATTAGTTGGTTACATTTGCATAAACTTGAAGAGCGAATGCAAATTTCATGGTTAACGCAAAGAAAATTGAAAACAGAACAAGAACAAAACAACATGATGAACAAATTCATTAGGCTATCAACTTGAATGAAATCAATAAAAATGGCACAACAAAACAATAGGAAACAACAATGAGACACTTTCTGCCCGGCAATAACTAGAAGTATCTGAATCTGTAGCTGGTTTTCTTCTATAACGCAGTCGGATTTTAATCAATGTGATTAAATGGTTTGATTAACGCCAAACTGCGAAGAGTAATGCGCACTTTCTGGCCATTATATGGCGGATATGGATAGATTGACAGACTGACAAATTGACAGAGATGAAACGCTGCATGAGTGGGACACAGATACAAATAGATGCGAGATGGTTTTTTGGTTTTTGGCACGTGACGCTGCCAGCGCGAGGTATACAAAATTCCATTAGGGCAGACAGACATGTACGTAAAAAATATATGTACGTAAAAGTAAGTTCGCTTTTGGCAAATGAAAATTGCTGCGCCACTGGGAAATCGGTCAGGTGGCCAGTATATATCATATATTAGACGAAATCAATAGCCGCTGGCTATTGGCTCTATAATTCTATTTTGGCATTTAACTATTCGCAATTAGAGTTAATCAATTGTGCTTTCAAATGCAATAATTATTTGTTTGATAAAAGTGCGCAGTGTACTTGGATCTATATAGACATTTTACAGCTCTGACGCTGTTAATAATTTATATAACAGCTGACTGTTAACTGTTAGCCAATTAACAGCATGTACAGCTGTTAGTAAAAGCGCGTAGCTATTAAGCTAAATATTTACGGTTTATGGATAAAACAACTTGAAATTTAAGTCATATATATATTAGATATAGAATTCCAGTTCTTGTTGTTTTGGCTATAAAAACCATATAGTATATAGAGCTTCCTTAATCATAGGCACGTGCTAGTCAGCAGCTAAAACTGGCCAATGTGACTTAGTCGATATACATACAAATACTATACTATATGTGCATACAAATCCGTCGACTAGATGTGCGGCTAAATATAAATGGCCTATTTTAATTCGCACATACGTTAGACATTTTCACAGACTCTGTAAAATGTGTCTAATGCGAGAAAAGCAACAGATATATTGCATATATATTTATATAGATGGCGATATAAATGATATTAGAGATCAGACTAGAGTTTTGTTAGTGGACAAAGCACGAAGCTGGATATAAAAACAACAATAAACATTAAAAAATAAAAAAAAAAAAAACGCAAAAGCTAAAGAAACAAAAAACTCTTTCAGACATATACACAAGCATACGATATGTACACATAGAGCTGATGAGAATGTTTACATAAGCGCAATTTGTTAGGAGATAAACTAGAAAATAAACAAATAAAAAGAGGAGGCAAAAAATGTCAACTCATCGGCTTGAGGCAGACGACAGGCGACGGTTGACAAATGCAAACAAGAAGAGATCACGCAGGTGATACGCAACAGGTGATATGAAGGATATAAAGACAACGATCTGTTTAAGATTGTGCCGTTGCCTAGCACACACACACACACACACACACACACACACACACACACACACACACACACACACACACACACACACACACACACACACACACACACACACACACACACACACACACACACGCACACGCACAGATATATATATATATAGAGAGAGAGAGTATATGGAAGTTGGCAATCAATTTGGTTCGCTGTCTGCACGTGGGCACAAACACTCACCTTCGCTGCCATTCGGCTTGGATGCAGCCTGGGCCAGGCAACGTGGACAGGATGCGGTCAGATCGATGATACTGTGCTCCGGTGCGGCAAATGGCAGATCTTTGTAAACGAAGGTGCTTGGCGTGGGCGGGTCTGTGTGTGGGCGGGTTTCAGTTTTGGTTTTTGGTTGGTTTTATCAACGTCGCAATAACAATAATAACAATAATAATATCAAAAACTGAATACAATCAAGATACAAGTGAAGACCACTTTACGTATGCCATATCAATTTAGACTCGTGACCGACCAACTGCAGAATTTTGTTGGCTTATATTTTTATTTATAAGTACCATATAAGACGGATGGAAATGTACTTTTTTACGTATTCTTTGTTTCTGTGGCCCCCGTTGCTATAAAAAGAGGCGCATTACGGGTCTAAGTACACAATTGACAAATTAGTTTTGGAAATTGTCAAATGGAAATTGAGTCGAGTCACGCAATTCTTGAGTCAGCGTCCCTACTAAGGATAATGGCATTTTAAAGGTTTATTGACTGGGTTGAAAAACGCGCAAGCGAATTACATAAATGAACCTTCATTGAAGACCTGACATTCAAATAAAGGGAGGCGAGACACGCCCACTAAAGCGTTTATATACATAGAGCCAAGGCACGTACAGTATGCGAGCATCCATAGACTATATACTATCTGGCAGCCGAGATAGTCATTGTAGCTATTCAAAATACGCAGACAACAGTTTGCCTCTTTGTGGGCGGGCGCAGGGTGTACACATAATCACAGATATCTATATATATGTATATATATAGAGCTTATGTATACACGGCATAGAGTATGTAAATGCTCTCGCAAGTAAATATTTTGTTTTATTTTCGTACGAGAAAATGCCACGACGAACTTGACAGTGCGCAGATTGAAGATTGAAATACCCCTAGAAAATACTAGACATTGGCAATGATGGGGTCTCATTATGAAATAACAAAAATCCCTATCAGTAGACCCGACCAAAAAAAAAAAAACAACTTGACTAACAAAAAACTAAAAAACCTACAACTACTAAAAAACTAAATTGAATGAAGGATTGTCTCCTCATGTTGGGGATGTTTTTTGTGGGAAAATGCTTGCAAAAGTAAATTTTCTTTTCTTCTCGCAATCTCTCTGCCTCGTTTCTTCTACATCTATTTAAGCAGTTCAGAACTTACCCTCATCCTCGGTCAGATCGGAGAACTTGACGCCGCCGCTACAATTTTTTTTTATTTTATTTTTTTGAGAGGGAGAGATAGAAGAGGTATAGAAATGTAAATTAAAACAAACGCTCTTTAAATGCCTTTTAAGAGGCACTACGCACAAGCTACATTTAAATTATTTGCTTGGATTTATTAAAAGATAAGTTTAAAAAAGTTTTATTTTTTTTTTTTTTTGTAAGTCTTTGACGTATTATGTGAGAGAAAAATGTGAACTGTACAGATATGCACAGATATATATATTATATAGTATATTATGCAAGGCAAATTGTTAAAGAACGCAATCAAACTGAAATCGTTTTCTTGAATGCCGCACAAACAAATAGGCACAAAACATTGTTTGCAGCAAACGTAGCGAGCCAAAGATAAGGGCATAGCTCAGACAGGCCACAGCCACGGGCATAAATATATGTCCAGGTACGAAATAGTGCGTGCTGAATGCCTGCCTGGGTGTGTTCCCCCCCACTTTGGCTGGCTGTGTTCTTTTATTTGACTTTATCTTTTCTTTATTTCTTTTTAATTTTTTTTTTTTTGTATTTTTGTTTCGTTTGTGTTGATTGATGTGTTTTAAGGCATTTACCTGAGTAGTACAGTGGCCGTTTCAGGCACGCGGAATACCTGAAAATATTTAACATGCTCATTGCTTTGTTTCGAGTTGCGATTTGTTTTTGGGATAATTTTGTTGTGGTTTTTTTTTTTCATTTTCATTTTTATTTTTGATTTTTGTTTGTTTTTTTGCGATGGCTACAGCATTATTGATTGAGTGGAAGTGCGTGCCACGTAGCAGCAAAAACAGCATGACAACAAAACACATGGATCTATATACAGATACAAACTATATATACCATCTGACAGTACTTACAACTGTCACAGGCCGCCCAGGATAACAACAAACAGCTAAGAACATATATATATATATGTATATATGTGTGTCAGCTGTTGAATGTCGAAGCCTTAGAGCCTAACAACCAAGCCCAGCTCAAAGTTGCCCCAAAATGGCACCCAAATAAATCAATTACTTAATGCTATCATCTGACACTCACCTTCCAGCCCAGATTCTCAAAGAAGGTGCACAGGCGACTCTGGCCAGTTGTCTTGCCGCCGCAGGGACCTGTAAAATGCAAAAATTCAAATTATTTTCATTCGTTTCGGTTATTAGGAGCTGTTATTAGGGACATGCCCCCGACTGTGCCCAGGCGCTCAGACATTTGCTGCAACTGACGTTTGTGCAGCGATGAGGAAATGAAATGCTCTAAATTGATTTGAATTAACCGAGTTTATGTGTCGCTATCGATTGCTTGCCAGTTGAACAACTTGACATGCTTCAAGTGCAAACAATATATCTGCTAAAATTATCTTTCAATATTGGAAATACTGAAGTAGTGTTTAGCAACGCTAAGAGCGAAGTTCCAGTATTGTTAACATTAACATTAACATTAACATGAACAGGGTTAAGCTTATGAAAATGTTGCTTTGCGGTTTATCTTGCGGATAATGTATCTTCTATAGCATAGATTAATTGATCACATTTGTATTTTTGGTAAATAGCAGAATTTAGCTTCGGCGCCATTTTTATCAGTATCAATGAGCTAGTTGTTCTAATCAGGTCGTTCGTCGTGTGATTAGAAAAAAGGAAATAGAGTATGATAACATGGGCGAGGCCAAATTTATATGTCTATAAAAATAAGTAACATCCATATGTATGTTAGTATGTATAATCAGAACTATAATTAATTGATTGCTGGCCACGCGCTACTTTTAATAACTATTGCTGGAGGCAAGATTTTCGTTTGTCTTACTTTTGGCGCGCTTTTGTGACGTAAATACCGGTAAGGCGAACAGAAGTTAGAACTAGTTTATTAACCGGACGATTTGACAAAAAAGCATTTGATTAACATATCAAAAAGTAAAACCGCTAATTGAAATTATGCTGCGCAGGCGAAACGAAACTATTCCAACGCGAAATGAGGAGGAAACGGGCGCCTTTTTTCAGGGTCCTGGCGACCTTGACATGCTTTGAGAGCATACACACATCGTAAACAAATAGATACAGAAGAAAAGAGACAAAAAAAATAGGAAGGCTTTTTTGGGATTTAACGACGTAGAACTTACCGCCAGTGAGTACAATTTTATAGACCCGAACTTCCTTGATGGGCTCGGAGCTCTTTAGCTTCAGGCTGGCATTCATGGCATCTGGTTTTGCCAAGGCAGACCTTTTGCTATCCACTTGATGCTGATGCTGTTGCTGTTGCTGCTGTACTGCAGCAGTTTTCTTTTTTTTGGGTAAATTTTGATTTGAATCTGAATTTGAGTTCGTGCTCGCCTGCAGTTTCGTCCCGACAATCAGCACCGACTGTTGCCCGTTGCTGGTCGGTACCAGGGCAGGTGCCATTAGTTGGTCGGCTGTTGTTGCCATGGTTAAAGCGCAACAGCAACAGCTGTTCCCGAAGTCTCGAATATATGAATCCTTGCGCCTTGCACACTGTACTTTTCACTCTACGCTCTCTCCAATATGACGACGTAGTGCACGTGCGGCTTTTAGGTTATAACTGCTCGACTTGAGGCCTCTCGTTGACTGCAAAATCGTCGCAAATGATAAAACGTACACATTTTCAAAATATATGCGAAGCAGTTGCGATGTTTTTATTGCCAGCTTCTTTTGGGTATAGTTCTATTACCGCTGTTTCTCGATGACAGTGATAACTCCTTGAAATATTGTGCGCTAGTTAGTTTGATGGACACACATAATGGTTCTGAAACGCGCGCAGGAACACATTAAAGAACATTTATCGCCAATATTTCAACGGTTAATGCTACGAGATTTGACTTGGATTAAACACCAAACGGTGTCGTGGTCAACAGCAGTGGGATTGTTATATACCACATCCGAGTTTATAAATATCAAAGTTTATGAGTTTTATAATAGAACATCATCTTGCACGTTTTGAATTAAAAGCAAAACTGACGAGACCCACTTGCACAGTGCACACTTTATACATGACACTACGTAACTAAGTGAGTGAACCAACACGAGTTGTATCAAACAACCCTACTTCAATTTCAGGTGTTCTGTTAAATAACAGAATTTTGACTCTGTAATCTGCAACTGTAAGAAAATGTTTGCAATCGTTATCGTTCTTTTTGTTTTGCACACATATAAAACGATAAGTCCAATTAGCTTCCTTAACTATTTTTCAAATCGTTTTAAAAACGGCGGGCTATGATAAGTCTTAAGTCCGACAGGATACATAAAAGTGATTTTACGAGTGCATTTATTATCGATATTTATATTTGGCAAGAGATTTAATTGGCCTTATACAAAATAAATTAAAATATATAATAATTAAAATATATCTCATTTTATAATTCACTATTTAGTTACTCTTTGGGAAACTAGTAATAGAGGTAGAACGAACTTAGCTTAATCAAATATTTTATTTATTAAGTGCTCTTCCTAACAGTGTGCTACCAGATCATGCAGTACATAACATTGTGTCAACAGGCCATTTGGGATTCAGCGACAAGTTGGCAGCTCTTGGTATTTCTGTCAAATATTAGTATTTTTGTGGGCAAATTTAGAACGCAATCTCTTTTTTTTAATATTTCGCATTTTATTGTGTTATTTGAACTGCAGCTGGAATGATGTGTGTGTGCGGTGCTTAAGTGGAATCAAATGTGCAATAATAATATTAAAAACAAAAAGAAAACAATACGCTAAACTACAAACATTACAAAGCAGATTTGTATAAGACTATTACAAATATTTAGCTAAAGGTTGTTTCTGTGCTTAGTGCGTAAATTTTCCAACATTCACAATCCCATAGTACATACAAACATACATACATATACATAACGTAACATGTGTGAGCGCGAGTGAGAGCAAAACGTCAACATGACAGCAACAACAATAGCAACAGCAGAGTAAAAGAGAGAGCCCCCAGCCAGCTGTGCAGGTCGTCGTGGTCGATTTCTGTTTTTAGGCTCCCCCAATAAGGAACAAAATTTTTCAGTCAAAATTTTGTTATTTACATTGAGCTGCGGCTAAAACGGGTGTCACAGAATAAATATTATCAAAAAATTGTTCGTTATTGAATTGAAGGTTGTACTACGAATTGTTATGCACATATTCAATCTTTACAAACTCAAGTGCATCATTTTACACAAACTGCGTCACACTTGGACATTCGTTGTATTTGTCGCCAAGCTACTCGATAATTGGTATCGCAGAGCGATCAATCACCAAGAGCAGCTCCAACATAATAATAACAACAACAATAACAACGTAATGGAACAAGAAGTGCAAGATGAGGCGGCAGCAGCTCCAGAGGCTCCGGAGGCAATTGCCAATGCAATTATTGCGGACGAGCCAATGGATGCCAGCGATGTGGAGAACGAAGATGCTGATGATGAAATCGATATCGATGAAGACGACGGTGACGTCGATGACGATGACAACGATTTAAGTGATGAAGATGAATCCGATCCCGAACTGGAGGAAATGTATTCGGATAACGATTGGACAACATCTAACGATGAGAGCGAAATGTCCACAACCATATCGAATGTGGGCCTGGGACCCATAGAGCCACTCATACCACAAACAGCCCGACCCATGTACAGCTTCCAGCCAGCACGTCTGATCAAATGTCAGTTCAAGGACAAGCATTGCATTGGTGGCTTTCCACTTGGACGCAGTGGTCATCGCATTATTGCATCCAAATCGCATCTCTATTCGCTTGGTGGCTATAATCCGCGCAGTGCGTTGACTGCCGCCAGACGCGGCAGATGTCTGCTCTTCCAGGAGCTCTGGAGCTACAATTTCGCCACAAATCATTGGTCGCTGGAGCTAAACGCAGACAATGCCAGCAATATGCCCACAGAGCTGGCCTCCAACGCGCTTGCCATTCACAATGATGTGCTGATTGTGAGTATTGAATATGAATATTTGTCAAGAAGAAGAATGCTTCAGTTGCGGCTGCCCGACTAGCATATGCTCTGTACACCATTTTACATATGTATGTATATATATGTGCATGTGCAAAGCTGCAAATGACAGCCCGTGTACAGAGGGTAGAAATTGATGTGTGTGTGTGTGTATGTGTGCGTGCATTTGTAAAAATAACAACACAACTGTTGTACGCCCCCGCACATCGCCTCTCCTGCCTTGTCGCCCATTCTAAACCAGTTTGCCATAGCACACAGCAAACGGCAAAACATAATCGTAATCGTCATCGTTATCGTGCGACATAATTTGCATTCGTCGCATCGCTGGGCGCTGATCAACGTCAACGTCGACGTCAGCGTCGCCGTCAGCGTCAGCCTGGGCTCAATGCCACGCCCGACACACACAACAGTACACGTTGCTAGTCGCTGGCTGCGCTGCTCGCTTTTGCTTTTCCGCTCATGCTTTGTTTATGCATTCTAAACATTCGAGGCCCCCAAACTCAACGAAAAACAAATCATAAAAGCCAAACAGCTGCGCGCTGTCCGCAGCTTATGCTGCTATCTCTCTTGTGCGCATGCCCAGCGACGTCAGCTCATCCCTCTTGGAAACTACGCAGTTGTTGTTTATGCTGCTGCCGCATGCAACAACTTGTTTGCCAGGTTTTCCACATAACAGCACCACAACTTCCCCCCCTTTTCTTGAAAAGCCCAAAACATTGTCCCCACTCTATGAAGTTGTAGGCTAGCGCGCGCTTTTTCTTTGACGTTTTGCCTTTGTTTTCCTTTTTTTTTGTTTATGTTTTTGTGGCTATGGCGTCTGATTGTCTTCGGTGGCTTTTACTAGATTTACCGTATAAATTGGCTGGCATCCCCACACCATTCACCTGGGCTGCCGCAATTTAAGTGGCCCAAATTGAATATTTGCTGCGCAGAAACTCTGGTGAATTAGAAGCAGCCAATAAAAAAGAGAAGGTCTCAGCATGTGCTACATTGTATTTCACTTGCTGCCCAAAAGGAAAATGGAAAATATAGAGCGCAAAAAATCTACATAGATGAATACATTTCCAAGTTCACGAAACTTTGAAGTCACAGTTTGAGTATCATTGCTCCAAGAGTCACAGTCTTAGAAGCACTAATCCCTTTATTCCCTGATAAAAATGGGCTTCAAATTAGATATTTGAAAAATGAGCCTTTTTCTTGTAGCCTATCCAGAAATCAAGTGGTAGCCCTTGCTGAAGACTTTTCAACTTATGCTGGCTGCACAGTACAATTACTTTTAATTAGAAAGTTAATCAGAAAACATGAGCAGACCCGCTTTCCACCGATATCTAAGCATGCCCTGATACACATACACACACACACACACACACAGCCGGGCACGCGAGAGCATAAAGATACATTCATATAGTACACAATGCATACACATGTTGCCGCTTATCGCAGACTCTTCGCTGAGCTGCTGATAAGGAGGGGGCATCGTTGGCTTCTTTGTTGAATGCGCATCTCCTAATTGAATGCAGCAGCAGACGCCCATCCGCTCATGAGTATGGGATAAATAAAATAATTTCTCTTCTGCTTGCAGTCGCATGGCGGCACTGGCTATCCCTTTGGAGAGTCGTGCTCGAATGATTGCTACGTGTACCGCACAAGCGAAGGCAATGCCGGCGTGGAGCGTTTAAAGGTTAGTGGGGATTTGCCGACAGCTCAGTACGGACCGGGCATTGTCATACACAAGCATTATTTGTACACTATTGGCGGCACGACGGGATTCGATTATTCATGCGATGTGTATCGCTTGGATTTGCGCACCAAGGTCTGGGAGAACGTATACATATGTCGGCCGGAGATGCGTGACGATCCGGAGGGGCGCTATCGGCACGAGGTCGTCTACGATGGCAAACACATCTTTGTGCTCGGCGGCGGCACCTCAAACTCAGTGTACGATCTGCAGCGCATACCGGCCTACAATTTGGACGCAAATAGCTGGGATTATTTTGATACGCTGCCGGATCGCAAGAGTGGGGCCTGGAGCCAGAACGACAAGGGCTATCCGAGACCGCGCAAATGCTTCTCCTGTGTGCAGCATCAGTCCTCCAACGGCGACATCGAAGCTTTTATTACCGGGGGACTACAAGTGAGTCGCAGAAGCAATTAAGTGCACCTCCTTTCAAGCAACGCTAATTTTGGTGTATCTCTTCCCTTAGGGTGATTTCTCGACGTACTTCTCAGACATCTGGAAGCTGAACTTGCGCACCAAGCAGTGGTCCATCATACAGACGGCCAGCCTGCCACGTCCCTTGTACTTCCACTCGGCGGCACATTCGGACAATGGCTGCATGTATATCTTTGGCGGCATTGAGTACAACGATAAGGAGACATTGAAGCGCCGCAATGATCTCTACAAGATGTGGATGACCATACCAAAGCTAAGCGAAATATGCTGGGATGCTATCACCTATTACAATGATAATCTCGATCTGTACGATCGCCAGACTCTGCTCAGTGCCGGTATACCCAAGAGCTTTACAGATCGTCTGCCCCCGCAGAGACCGGACGTCGTGAATGGGGACCCGAGCGCAGCTATAGTGACATCATTGTACTCGATTGCGAAACGCGCCCGATCCCAAATGCAATAATTGGCTAGGTTCAGCAGCTTTACATCCCAATCCCTGCCCAAAAATAAAGTTGTGAATTGAGAATGTGGCGTGAGTGATTGCCCCTGTGTTGTTGGAGCTATGTTCGTTTTCGTTTAAATTGAAAAACAAACCAAAAGGAACAAAAACAGGACATTATTTAGTTTTTTTGAGCGCGCGCTGTGATCGATTACGAAGGACATTTATATTTATACATGTGTGTATTTTAATATTTCGTAGACTCGAATTGAAAGGCGAACATGTTTAGCATGTAAATAAGACGTAATTTAGTTTAGATAGCGGAACAAGACAGAATGACAGGAGGCAATTAGTATGGAAACTCTAAACAATAACAAAAGAACAGTCAGCGCACAACCCACGAGTCCACAAACCTACACTCAAGTAAGACCCCTAGCTATAGCCATACGAATACTATAATACCAGTATATCCTTCCAAGTATTGCTGTATTACTCACATCCACGCACCCCCCACCCCCCGCCCCCTGCTGCATTTGCAGAATTTCAAGCACAGCCCCGACTAACCCCCGAAGGCTACACCAAACAATGTCATATAGAGGAAGTATGTGCCAGAGGCAGGCAGTTAGCGAGAACATTTCGTTTCGCTGGGGTTCTCGCCAATTGGCCAATATATAGAGATAAACGTACATACATACTTCCAATGTATTTTTTTTGTCAAAGTGTACATAATATATAGATATAGTAATATTTAATTATTAAACTAAGTTTTGCGTCTTTATTGCGGCATCTTCAGCCCAACATTAACACAAAGTTTGCTCGATATTATAATATATATATATAATAGCCCAGGCTACAAATTTGGTTCATTCTAAGTTAATAAACGTTTTTAATGTAACAATAATTTCTTGTATATTGGCAATTGCGTTTTAAATCGCAACACTGTTACGCACTTCCCCCTCCCTGGCGCCTATTACAACGCTGCTGACCCAATTCGCTGCGACGACGTCAATTCATAAATCCGGCACTGCATCGAGTCCGGGGTTTTAGAGCTGCGTCATGCGCATTGCGCAAATGCACCCCAGAAACTACGCAAATGGGAAAACAGGTAAGCATTGGCATTTTTCGACTTTTCTTGGTGGTGGTGGTGGTGGTGGTGGATAACCAAAACTGTTCCTGCTGTTCGTGATGAGTGCGCACGTTAAACTGCGTAAAAGGGCCATGACCTGGTTTACCTGGATCTATTACGTCCTAATGCAGAGCCTTAAATGCATTTGAGTACTATTATCAGCGTAACAGCAGTAAATTAATTCCTTTAAAAAGGTATACACATTTTGATCTGTTTTCTCGTATATGTAATTTATTATTCGCTAAATACTAATAAAAATATGTTTATGGATTAGATTAGGTTTGAAAGAAGGGTTTTTGAAGTTTGCGCTATGTTAAATGACGCGCCATTCTGTTAGCTCAATAACAGCACTGTTAACTGCCCATATGTTGTGTCTTTCACGGTGAATGTCAAATCTGTTGGGGCGTACATTGTTTGTTGGTTTAATAAAAGATTTAAGTACATAAAATGCTAAAACCCAAAGCACTTACCCAAGTTTTAAGCCAGGCGAACACGGGCGGAGTCGAGAATACCCTGTAAGTGTAATCCAGTCTAAAGTACAGCAGACAAATAACTTTTTGCCACTTGCAGTCTGCTTAGCCAGGAGGGCGCTCTGCTGGCCTACTCCGGCTATGGAGATAAGGATGCACGCATAACGGCAGCTATTGCAAGCAATATTTGGGCTGCCTACGAGAAACATGGACGCAATGCGTTCCGCGAAGATCGTCTGACCTTTGTGCTGATTGACTGCGAGTGCGGGCATGTGGCCATCACACAGGTGGGTGGTTGTTCCCCTTTAGCTGGTGTTTTTATCCCCTGAACCCATTGAAAATGGCTAAAAAGAGTATTATGTATTTGGGCAGAAGGATCCATCTCCGACCCCATAAAGTATATACATTCTTGATCAGCATCAACAGCCAAGTCGATCTAGTCATGTCCGTATGTATGAACGCAAGGATGATAAATCCTATAAGAGCTAGAGACTTGAAAATTTAGCTGCAGGTCCTCCTAGTCCATGCGAGTTTGTTTCCGATAATCGATAACTTAATCTGTTTCCAACCAATCGATAAAAATCGATATCGAAATCATGTTTTTTGAGCAAATTGGATAAATAATAAGAGCTAGAGTCACCAGAAGTGATATGTTTACTCTAGAATGAAGATCGGTTAAGAAACACGTGTTTGAGGCACCAGCGCAAATTGCAAGATTTTCTGTATACATATACACACTTACATTCATGCGCGTCTGCTTTGAATTCTTTAGAATTGATATATCAACACTATCGCAATTGCGATTGTATTGTCTGCTATGCTACTATTTAAATTCGTTTTTTTCTCACTAAGACTCAATTATTAGTGTGTCTGTTGAGTAGAGGCGGTGGCAAGTGGTGTGGTCTGTCGCGGGTTTTCGTGGCTGTTGAGTAAAGACGTCGACAATTAATGCGGTTAGTTGCGTAGCTCGAGCTGAATTTGGTGTTGGAATAAGAGGGTTCAGGGTATCCCCTAGTCGGGAGCTCCCGACTAGAACCTCTTTTGTTTTTGTATGTATTGATTAACTGCTGCAGGTGGCCAGTGTGCTGTTGTGTCTCTATGCCAAGGAGCATGTCGGCTTGGGCATGCTAAAGCAGAAGACCATGTCGTTGGCAGCGTATTTGGAGAGGCCGCTCAAGCAAATCTCTGCATCCTAACGAGCGAAAGAGTATTCGTAGGCTCGATTTCGATTAGTCTTAAGTGTAATTCCTGTTTTGTAGTTGATAAACATATAAAGTACGTTGATAGCTTTTGGATCGGAAATAAAGAAAAGTCTGGTTTATTTACGCGGAAATTGGTTTACGCACAAGAGCGGTTAAATATGTATACATGTATTTATAAAATGTTGAACTTATTGCTAACTATGGATCGCCGTTTGCTTAAATTAAACAAGCCGCTTTTATTCGATGGCATATAGCTTTAAGGTGCGATCCATGCTGGTGGAGGCAATATATTGCGCGTGCTTGCCAAACCGCACGCCGGTGGCCAGTGCCGTGTGGTCGTTGAATACCTTCAGATCCTGCCACTGCTTACACAAGTAAACCCTGTAAAATGTAAAAGTAAAATGTAATCAATAAGTTTTTGCTGTGCCTAGCAACAAGGTAAACAAGCGCTCAAACCAATTTTCTTAGTGTCTTTGTTTTAATAATGAAAAGATTTAAAAGAAAAATATACCGAAAATATGAAGGTAAGCTAAAAAAAAGCATTTAAACGTCTGTAGACAAGCATCTTATAGTCCTTTCCCACAGATTACATACGACCGCAGGACTATTTGGAACCGGACGCACCAAAACCCATCAACCTCTGTATTGATGACTTTAATGCGGTATAAAAAACTATTGAAGCATGCTTCATATAACTCGGCTGATTCTTTTTCTATTGCAGCGCGGCGAAGTGGCAAATCCGCGTGCACCTTGTGTGGTAACCACCATAGATCCAGATTATATCAAGGATGCAGGTCTGCAGCGTCTGGCCAAGAAGTTTCGCATGAAAACGTGTGTTATCCACATTTCTGTCTAACCTTTCGCGTAGCTAAATATTTTCTCTTTACAGTGATATATTACTGCTACGTGAGATTACGCGCAATAAGTTCATGTGCTACTCCACACAGGAAATGTTCTTGGATAGAAAACGTGAGGTGGAGCACCACAATAGGCTGTACCAGGAGGCGGAGGAATTTCACAAGTTGGCTGATGATGCCTTGAAGCAAATGAAAGCCAACGAATTTAAGAAAATGCTAGAGGCACAAGAAAATTTAAAGAAGCTGAAAGAGAATAAAGTGGCCGAGGAGCTCAACCAGGTGAAGCTGCAGCATCAACGTGTGCTTATGGAGGTGCAGGAGATCTACGGGCGCTTCCAGTACTTGCTCAAGCTGATAAGCTACTTTGATGACACGTTGGAACAGCAGTCGGAGCAGTTGGAAAACAAGCTGACCATGCCCGAACACATAATCAACATGGAAATTAGCGAACGTCATCCGGCTGGCCTGGAGCAGGTGCAGCAGGTTAAGGAGTATATGGAGCATGTGATTCGGCCGTATTTGGAGAAGCGCAATCATTTAAATGCTGATATTTGGATCAAAGGCTACGAGCGAAATCGCCTGAAGGTGTCCAACTACAACAAACGTTTCACTCAGCTGGCGCTTCTCAATCACATTGTGTGCATACTCCACGACAAGGCGGTGAGTTTTTGGGGCTTCCTATTAACAGCACAGCTTTATTTTCACTTGATTGCAGGAGAAAACACAAAAGCGAAATGCGAGTGCCGTGGTCTTTCTCAAGGATCCAGAATTTCTGCAACGCCGCGTGGCTGCACTGCAGCAACGTGCCCACGAACTCTTCGATGATTTTGAGCAGTCATACTGCAAGGAGTAAGTCTGAGCTTTGAGTAAATGCAAAAGATATTTATAGCATATTAATTTGTTCTTTCTGTAGCAAGCTGAGCTTCAAATTGAATAGCATTGTGCCCGTGATTCTGAAACAGCTGCAGAACAAAGTGGAACCGGCGCAGCTGCCAAAGAAGGAAGCACTTAAGACGCCGCCACAAAAGTCATGCAAGCATTGGCGTACACTGGAGAACATGCGCACGCCAGCGGCCCACATAACGAGCGCTATCTACAAAGACGAACAAGATAAAACGCTGGCTAAAGTGGAGAAAATACAGACATTTGCATTGGTAGGTGACAGCTCCTTCCATATAGAAGCCATACAGTGTTAAGTACGTTGAGTTTTAATATAGGAACTGCTGCGTAAACTGGATGCCATACCGCCGGCTGATCTGCGCAGACTTGAACAGCGCGTGCGACGGCGCATGGCTAAGCAAACGGAGATGTCGCGCCGTGCACTGGTCAAGCAGAGTAGGCTGCACAACTGGATGGAGCACTTTAAGAAGCACCATCGCCTGCAGCAGGCAGATCGCAACAAACATAAGGTATAAACGTATAACAGGTATATATATTAATAAAGTAAGACTCACCTGACATCAGTGCCGGCAATGGCCAGATATGTGCCGCTTTGATCGAAGCACAGATCCTTGACCTCGTAGCCATCGTCTAGTTGTATGGTCTTGAAATTCTTTAGTTTGCGCAAATCCCACAGCTTTACGCACGCATCGTCCGCTGCAGTGGCCAGATAGTAACCGTTTTCGGAGAACGATATAGCCGAGATGGGGCCGGTATGACCCGGGAAATTGGCCACATTGCTCTGCTCCTTCAGATCCCAAATCTTTACTTGAGAATCAACGGTGCCAGTGCCAAAAATCAGACCATCCGGATGGAATTGAGCAGTTGTCAGGCCCACCTCAGCCGTGTCAATAACCTTCGTCAGCAGGCGTCCAGTACGTATGTCCGAGAAGGCCCAGTGCTTGTCCGAAGATGTGGACAACAAGTAGTCGCCCGTAGGATGCAGCGAGAGTCCTGTGACGGGCCCCTCGTGACAGCGCAACAATAGCTGTGTCTGCGATGTGGGCACATGCCAAATGCGTATGTTCATGTCTGGTGAGCCGGTGATGACAGTGTCCTCGTTGGGATGGTATATGACCTTCGTGATTTTCTTGGTATGGCCCTTCAGTATTGCCACAACTTGTTCCGTGTCCTTGTTGAATACAGTAGCATTTTTATCATTGCCTCCAGTCAAAATCTTGCTGTGATCGGCGCTGTTTATGTCCAGAGCCAGAATGCCAGGCACAGATGCCGAGTGCAGGCCTGGACGCGAAGCCACCGTGAGGAAGTTCTTCACTTGATCTGGTGTGACCAGTTCCTCGGGCACCGTGCGTCCACGCTTTTTACGCTCCTGTGTCAGCACAGTGGCTTTGTCCTGCAGCTTCTGTATAACCTCGGTACTCATGCCGGCCTGCTCCATTTGGTGCGCACCACCAGCACCGGCTTCTGAGGCCAGTGCCGGCTCTGAAATCATCGACGGCGCATTCACTATGCCCGCTTGAGGCTTCAGCGTGGCCAGCGCCTCGCGCGCCGCCGTCAGCTCTTTCTTCAGACGCGCAATGACACGGCAGGCGGCATCATGTTGATAGAGCGCATGTGACAGCTCCTGACGGGTGGTCTGCAGCTGCTGGCGCTGAGTAAACGAGTGTATCATCAGCGCATCCCACTCGTCCTGCATGGTTTTCAGTGTCGCCGGTATGCTGGTGGCGCTGGGTGGCTTTGGCTTCACTACTGCTGGCGTTTTGATTTCAATGAGTTCCTCTTGCTTCAGCTCCTTGCCACAGATCGGATCGCAGCCGTTTTCCAGAATATACTTCTCAATGACGCGTCTTTCGAAAACGGCGCCCGAGTACGGCGAGACCACAGGCGACTCGGGTACCTCGTTTGTAACTAAAAGAGTGTAAAATTATTGAAAAAAAAAGAATGTGCACTCTAACTGGGAGCAACTTACGTGCACAAACCAAAGCCATCGCGACAAGTATTTAAACGTTTTCGGCCGATTAAAATACGTTTTATAACTTTTACACACGTTTTCCAACAGAAACAAGCGCAAAAATTGTCGGCAAATGAAGCTTCTTCCCAATCTGAAATTCACCACGCAACGCAAACGATAACACATATCGATAACAAATCAACCAGCTCGTGATGACTGGCAAAGTTGAACTCGCGGTGACTGGCAATAATGCGGTCCATCAGCTGTTGCTATTATTAAAGTTACGCGTGCTTCAGTTTTTCCTTCAGCTCTGTATATTTTGTAAATTATTAATAGAAACATGCTGAAAAACCTAGTGCATTGGCGAGCAGGCAAATTCCTGTTAAATAGAGTCTCGCGAGCTGGAGCGACGCGCTGCCTATGTACTCCATTTAAAAATCAGACAAATGAAAGTGCCGCCCTAGGGGATGCGGAGCCGGCGATTAGGAAACATGTGAATCCCTTTGCACAAACCACGTCCACACCACTGCCAGATAATGAAGTAAATGAATCTAAAGAAGAACGCGATAAGAGGCTGAAGGTATTGCAGCTGGAAGCAGACATAGCACATCAGGAGGGACGTCGCGTGCCAGCCTTGGACTTCTTCAAGGAGCACCACTGGGCGCACGTGCTGACACTTCCATCGAAATCGGCACGAATCAAATACTATGCATTTCTCTGGCAAATCGAAATGAAAAAAGAGTCGGAGCAACGGAAAAAAGCGCTGCGCGCCGAGGGCACAGAACGCCGCATAGCCGAGATGCGCAAGGAGCGTGAGGAGAACACACACATTATCTATGGACTGGCACATACATCCATGTTCCTGCGTATCTACGACTCGACCATCAACCATTGGCAGAACAATCGCTTGACACGGGCCATGCAATTCGCGCCCAAAATTGTGCTCGACTGTTCCTATGATGCGCACATGACCAATCGGGAAGCGTCATATGCCGCCAAGCAGCTGATGCTGTGCTTTGCCGAGAATCGTGCGCATGACGAGCCCTTCGATCTGCACTATTGCAATGCCAATTTTAAGGGGCGCTGCATGCAGAGTCTTGAGCGTTTCATACCAACAATGCACAATCCCGAATTTCCCATGAATGTGCACAGCGAGTGTTTCACGAAGCTGTTTCCCAAGCAGCAATTGGTCTACCTGACGCCACACTGTCGTGAGGATCTGGTCACGTACAATCCGGATGATATTTATATAGTGGGCGCCATGGTGGACACCGTGAATAATGAGCCTCTATCACTGGCCAAGGCCAAGCGCTTGGGTCTGCGCATGGCACGCCTTCCCTTAGACCACTACCTGCAATGGGGCTCAGGCTCCGGCAAGTCCCTAACCCTTAA